GTTAGGGGTGAGATTTGGGCTTGGGATGGTTTACTTGTAAAAAGAAACATTATTAATATGATCTCTTTGACTGTTTTTTGGGTTATTTGGAAAAAGATGAATAGTAGAGCTTTTGATAGTGTTGAGAGTAGTTTTAATAGAATTAAAGATAGGTGGATACACTATTTTGGATCAATTTTGTTAGGTCATGATATCAATAATAAGATAAATTTTGGGAATGTTATTGATACTCTAACAACATTGTAATTGTTTTTGTATATGGGTGATACCCTCCGTTTTATTGGTATCATATTAATAGATACTTAACACTTTTTATTTCAAAACAAAAAATCACCACGCGATTCCGGCAAGCATGATTCCGCCAAGAAGAATACCTTTATTTATTGTATTGAGGCCTATAAATGACCCTCTTCTATCACTTGTAACCACCGGAATATCAATCAATAAAGTTATTTGTCTTTCTCTTCAGCATTTTTCATCTTCTTCTCTATTCTTCTTCTTCTTTGTTCTTATTTTTCCTTCAGATCAGAATCATGTTAAAGGCTTCTGACAATGAACTACTTTGGATGAAAATCGTCTTAGAAGATTTGAAGATTAAATAGATGACCCAATGAGACTCTATTATAATAATAAGTTTACAATTAATATAGCTCACAATCTAGTACAAAATGATCAAATAAAGTACATGGAAGTTGAGAGAGACTTTGTCAAAAAAACAGTTGGAGAGCGGATTGATTTCTATACCTTATGTGTCTACAAATGGCCAACTTGCTAATAAACTTATTAAAAGGCTTGAGTAGCCTAGTGTTTTGGAGTATTGTCTCCAAGTTGGAACTGGAAAACATGTATTCACCAGTTTGAGGAGTGTAGGAAACGTATCAATGACATATATGTTATGCGTATATAAGTAGTTATTTTAGGAGATTTTGTAAACAGCTTGTATCCCCATAGGCTGATTTGAGCAGTTTTATATTTTATTAGAACATATCATAAATCATGGGATTTGATATAACCTAGCTAGTTTCCTTTTTTATAGCTAGGGTGGTTGTATATGTAGCTAACTTTTATGTATTATTCAATCCATAAACGAAAATTTTCTTCCTCAGAATTGTTTCTCAATTTATGTCAGTTTCAGATTATTTAATTTTAATATCGATTTCTAGTTTATTATTAGTATTTATTATTATTGCATTTTTATTAGTTTAGTTAAGATATTTATTTGGATGATGAGATAACTTTCTTTTTTAATTCAGAATTTTCTATTTAGATATTTTTCCTTTGGTGGACTATTTTTGAGACTATAAATTTGTAAAGGTTCTGTGTTACAATTAATTCTACCACTATAAATTTGTAAATTTTTATTAGTTATTGGTGAGTGCCAAGAGTCAGTACTTGATTCCTTGGTACTTTTCTGGATGATATCACCCTCAATAAGCTTGACCAAAAAGGAGCAAACCTATTTACACTTCCATCCACATCACTGTATCATATTGGTGAAGATTTCTGTAAAATTGACCATAATTATTTCAAAAATATTTTCAGGTTATCCTTTTGTTTCAGAAAATTGAAGGAGTTGATGTCTGCCTATTTGGCATGTATGTCCAAGAGTTCGGCTCAGAGTGTGGTTACCCAAATAATCGCTGTGTTTACATCTCATATATTGATTCCGTCAAGTACTTTAGACCCGAGAGAGAAACTGCATCTGGAGAGGCTCTTAGAACCTTTGTTTACCATGAGCTACTGGTACAATATTAGTTTAGTTTCTGCCAATAACAAGATTTTAGCTCTGAATCTTTTAATTGATATAGCTTATGGTTTTTCTATGGTGCATCCACCTATTTGGATAAAGCGGTACTTCATTATTTTGAGCTATTTATAGATTATAAATTGGTTGTATTTTGTTTATCATTCTGATTATTATTCATTAGTATCTTGACTATTAATTATAACAATGTTGATTGGGATGGTGTTCGAAAATCAATGGTAATGAATAATAATCGAGGTCGTTACAAGTTATGGTCAAATGATAACATGAATTTTTTTTTTCTTTTTGAGATAATTAAATGATAATGAAATATGGTCAAATAATAACAAAATATAGCCAAATTTCTGAAACACTGATAATATAGGGATACCGCAGACCCGCTTAGTTTAATATATAGTATTTTCAGGGGACATTTGAAGCTTGAATAAGATTTAGGATCAGACAAGGCTGGTCATTTCTCTTTTCTGTTTGAATCATCAGATGGGATATCTTGAATACTGTAAGAAGCAAGGTTTTGCAACCTGCTATTTATGGGCCTGCCCCCCTTTGAAGGGAGAAGATTATATCCTGTATTGCCATCCAGAAAATCAGAAGACACCAAAATCTGACAAGCTGCGCCGCTGGTCTCTCTCTCTCTCTCTCTCTCTTTCTATATATATATATATATCTCTTTCTCGCTATCATATACTCACGCATACTTGCTCTCTCACTCACAAGAACAATGCACTCACTCTCTGTGTTTGCGTCGTGTCGTCGTATGTAGGTAGTGTTTCTACAGCAGTAGCCTACAATGCCACTACTCTTGTTTTTTTGTGTTTGTCTTCATCTCTTAACTCAGAGCTGTTCCACAACTGCAGGTATCACTCACTGCTTAGGAAAGCAACTAAACAAGAAATAGTGCATGGTTTTACTAACTTATATGATCATTTCTTCATGCCTACCGGACTCTGTAACTCAAAGGTTACAGCCGCTCGACTGCCATATTTTGATGGTGACTTTTGGTCTGATGCTGCTGAGGATCTTATTAAAAATATAGAACGAGAAAGTGGAGAAGAATCACAGAGGAAAGTGAAGAACATGATGAGAAAGAGAACACTAAAAGCCATGGGACATACAAATCTGTCAGATTGTGCGGCAAAAGATATTATATTGATGCAGAAGGTAAATCTCCCTTCACCCATTGGCATTTTATCCGGCTTATAATTTCCATAATTATCATATTTCATAGCTTTCATTTTTTTACACAATTAAGATGATAATCATCAACTGCTTTCTTATTTTGGTCTCTCGCCCTTGATAGCTGGGCCAAACAATCTTACCAGTTAAGGAGGATTTTATTGTTGCCCACCTACAGTTTGTCTGTGCACACTGTCATGAAGTGATATTATCTGGATGGCGATGGTTTTGCAGCCAGTGCAAAAACTTTCAGCTATGTGAAAGGTAATTTGGTATCCTGCTTTCTTTCCTACCTGTCTTCTTAATTGTGCTTTTAGACACTGAGGTGCATCAGTTATTGCCCTCTTACTCTTCTAATGAATGTCTATGACTGATATCAATTGCATCTTCATGGTCATGGTAGACTTTAGATGTACCAGGGAACAAAGCAATGTAAAATTAAGGGTAAACTTGAAATAAATGAACTTTTTTTTTTGGGATTCATCTGGAATTTTTACAGTTTCTGTACTTGGTTCAAGTATAAAACAATAAAAATTCATTTCTGAGTAAATCCAAATTACTTAGACCAATACATTTCAAATGCCATTCAAATTGATGAAATTTGGAAGTTGAATTATGATGGCTTAAAAAAGAGGTCCTTTCATTTGTTTTTATCTTCGTGAAACCATCTATGGTATGTTAAATGGAAATGACTCCAGAAAACTAAAATTTGCAAATTAATTCCATAAGAATAATTCATTTTTCCAAACATAGCCTAAAGGATTGTATATAAATTAATCTGTAGAAGCTTTTGGCTATATTTTGTTTATTACTTGGCCATATTTTTGCACATGGGGCTGCAAAAATGGTATTGCTGTCTCGTTGTATTGAAGGCTGGGAAACTGCTGTTAAATGAACAAATTGCTTACACTTGGCATGCTTCTGGGATATATTTATTCTCATGATGCTCCTCTTATATATTATTAGGACTGTTATTGATATTTATATCCTCATGATGTTTATTGTTTTATTATTTCTTGTTGAATACCATATTTTATTATTTAATTATTTAGTATTATGTAATTAGAATTTTATGAAAATAATAATTTTATGTTATAAGAATTATTGTAAAATAAGAATTTCCTTATTAGTAAATTATGAATTTTATGAATACCCTAAATGTAACAATTTAAAGGGTAAAAAATAAAATTATTAATTTCTTCTGTTAAAATCAACATTTTTTTTTTATTTTTTCTTTCCCTTTTGGCTAAAAGCTTTCTGATTCTCCATATTTTCCATTTCCTATAAATTGTTGTCTATAGGAAACTAAAGGTTGTATATATTCACTGTCATCCACTCTTAATTTGACATATCCAGATGCCTTGATGTGGAGAAAAAGCTCAGTGGAGAAGACACTCACACATTCAATATCAAGGAGAAGCATTTTCTCACTAAGGTGAATCCCGGACTCATTGCAAGCTATGGCTCCTTTTTTTTTTTTTTGTTTTTCTGAATTGTTTGAGATATAATTTATCTAAATTAAGTTTCCATTTTAATTTCCTCTTAACTCATTTTTCAGGCAATGGTGGATGATGTACCATCTACTACCAGTGATAATGACATCACTCTAGATAATGGCTTGTTTGAAAATAGGCATGCATTTTTGAATTTTTGCCAGAGAAATCATTACCAATTTAACACACTTCGCCGGGGCAAGCATTCATCAATGATGATCCTGTATCATCTACACAATCCAGCCTTGCTGACTCCTGGAATCTCCGGTTGTGCTGGGACCATCTGCAGAATTTGCCATATGACTATTGTGGTAGATGATTACTGGATATGTGATATTTGCCCCAGTTTTAATGTTTGTGTTGCATGTCGTCTGGAAAAAGGTGCTGCTGCTCATATTCATGCGTTAATGCAGTCCTCTTCTACAGTTAACTACAGGAGAAAGAGCAAACGATCACAGCCGTTGTTTCTGGTATGAAAAAAATCTGATATGTTCTACTATTACTAAAAACGATGGCTTAATCATGCTTATCATGTGTTCCGGTTTTAATTTTCTCATCATCTTTTCATTTATTTGTTGGAACCATGACTTTCTTCCATGCATCCTGCAAATAGCCAGAGTTTGGCTGCCTGGGTTGTTTATAGTGAAAACTTTAAGATTTCAAGTTAATAGTTATTTACCTTTGGCATGTGGGATGAGGCTCTTATCACATGGCATAGGTAGTGGTGAAGAGTGACTATATAATGATTTGGTAGGTGGTTTGTTAGAAAGTGGCAACAATGGTTTCAGGGATCCAATCTTGCAGGCCCAGTTTGAGCAATTGCCAGATTGGTCACTTGCCTACTTGTGTGATGAGTTTGGAGTGAATGTTTTCTGGGTTCAGGGCCCAACCCCCTCAAGGCAGTTGACCCTTCCGGGGTTCTTGGTGATATTGGTTTCCAAATTCATGCGAGAACAAGTCAGTGGCAAGGCCTCACGAGGCCATTCTGGCATTTGATTCTATCAAGGGGCGTGGACCAGTACTATGTTACGTAGCGGCTTACACTTGAAATTTACTGTACTTTGTGAAATTTATGTTTTGACATTGTTTCATCAGTCTCTAGTTGTTGTAAGTTTCATCGCTTATAATGTAATTGAACGACGCAGGTAAAAGAACTTCTTGCTGTTTTAAAGCATGCCTCTGGATGTAATGCAACCAAAACCAATCCTTGTTCTTACCCCAGCTGCCGCCTGATCAAAAGTTTGTTCATCCATGTAAAGAACTGCACTATTCGGGCTGCTGGGGGCTGCCAATACTGTAAGAAGGCTTGGTTTGGTTTGTGCGTGCACTCCAATAACTGTATAGAACCCGATTGTAAAATTCCCCGCTGCAGGTAAGCCTCATACTGCTAATTTTGGAACTCTCAATTCTTGTGAGAACTAAAATAAAAATGAAGACTCTTGAAATAATACATTGATTTTAATTTTGCAGGGATCTGAAGAAGCATGCAGAAATGTTGTCAAAGCTGTCAGAATCTAACCTCAGGGCTGCTGTTGTAGAGTTTGACTTGGGTAGAAATCAACCGAGGTTATGAAAGCCGTTGATCTATCCCAAAAATTGTACAAACGTTGCAGGATTATTAACAGCCTGACCAAACCATGAAAGGCGAAGTGCCATATAAACAGATAGGCAAGGATATTTACTGGGGCGGTAATAAGATACACTTGAGATTTTATCAAACTACTGATGGGTTCTTTTCGCCTCATCAGTAGCTCGAAGCAGTGTCTTGTATAAAAACGAGATGAACCATTCCTTTCCCACCCCCCGTAATAATCTTTCCCTTTTTCGGCTTGTATGGGTTTCTTGTATGTTTAAGTTTCTTTTTTTCGGTTGCCATAGCAATTTTGATCTATGAGAGGCGGTAGAAGAAACGCGAAGAATAATGTATATAAAGGAGAGAAGAGATAAGCAAGTGGTTTACTAAGCAGCCAACTGAGTTTGAATCTCATTCCAAATGTAATGCAGAAGAAACCATTTGCACCAACAATCCTACATTGTTGTTGTAAGCAATTATTTTAAAGCCATTTGATGTGCAGGCTGTAAGCATGTTTATTATTACTATTTAACTGGTTATTTTATTGATATAAAATATTTTAACTCTTTTTTTTTTATACTTCAAATTTTATAAATCTGAATAGAAAATATAATTCTTTTATTTACCCTTTTTTTTTTTAAGTTTTTAATTTTTAGTTATGTAAACAAAGCATTTTTTTTTCTTTTCTTTTCTTTTCGAACATCACTTTATGTTTTTTATTTCACAATTTCTTATCCAAATATCATGTGAAGAAATATCTCTTTCTTCAAATGCATGTATATATATGTATTCCCAGATCTGTAATTTTAAGAAAAATCTTTGAAATAGATTTTTAAAAGATTTTTGAGGAGGAAAAATATGGAGTTGTGGATATTTTACTTCAACGTTTAAATCTATTTAAGTTTAAGATAACGAATCAAAGTTGGTAGATTAACTTGTGTTAGTATAATTCTTCGATATTATATTTTTATAAAGAATTAAATTTAACTCTTAAATTTATATTATTAAAAAAAAAACTGTTTTTATATTTAAAAAAAAAAAGTAAAAATACATAATTAATCTAATTTTATAAATTTAAGTATTTTTTTTAAAAAAAAATCATTTATAAGTATATATATGTATATATATATTCTAGTAAAAACTAAAAAGTAGGTAGTATGAGTAAGATGTTATATATATGTACTTGTAGTCTGTAACTCATTACACGTAGAGCAGTGAGTTTCTTTGAAAGAAAGAAAATCAATTTTCTTAAAATTCAAGATTTACTGCAAAATTCAGACAGACGTAAATTTAGTTTTTCTACTTTTTCTCCTCTCAACCCGCTTCTCTCTCCTCTTCCCCTCACTGTCCACTATTTTTCCCGACAAAGTCCTCGTCCCTCAACTTTTCCTCTCAACTCCCAGATGGACCCGCGTCGAACCCCGCGCACAGTGATCGATCCAAAGGTTCGCCAAGTCGGGTTCTTCACCCCTCCTCAGCCGGACCCGATCTCTCATCCTTCCCCTCCGCTTCCGGACCTCTCTCCTTCTGGTAACTCCCTCTCCCCCGTTATGATCCCCCCTCCTCGCCACACTTCCTCCGACCCCTTCCTCATCCGAGCCGTTGCCACCTCCCCAACATCAATTTCGTACACAAGCCGCGATTTTCCTGACGAACCTCCTCTCTCCCCCGCTCTCTCCTCCAAGGTCAATTTTGTAAAATCCCCCGTTGCTCCAACCTCAGCTCTGTCCTCCTCATTTCCCGGTGTAGGGCCCGATTCCGTGGCGACCAAGGCTAGCAGCATTCCTTCGAGCCAGCTGACAACCGTCTCTCTTGTCAATCTGCCTCCCGGCATATGTGGTATGAACATTCTTAACGGCTCTTCCTTCTATGTAAATAATGGTCTTTGTGGAGGAACGTTTTTAGGTGGTTTAAAGCCCAAATCTTCATCATAACATGTAGGACTGGTCTTTTGCTGCAGTTTGAACTGATGTGGATTTCAGTGTGAGTCAGCTTGGTTGCACACGCATTTATAGATATGATTAAGCGTCAGATTAATGATAGAAATGATGCTGGGAGTTGGATTCAGTTGATAGTTGGCGGACGGTTTTTAGGGAGAGTGGTGTTCTGCATTTTAGATGTAAATGTACTGTATGTTATGTAATTTAATGAAGTTAGTGTTCGTTGCTCTTGTCGCCGTTTTCAAATTGGAGCCAAACAAAAGGAAGAATATTTCCCGATAAGAAGAATGAGATTTATAGTTACTTATTGGTACATCTTTAGACCAAAATAAGAACTGGTTTCCTGTAAGTCTTGACTAAGGAATTCAAGAGAATCATTTGTTTATTTGATCATTCCATAAATCAAGCATCTTTATGTTTGTCTTTTCTGTTAGCATGCTGAGGTATACTGCAACATTTTGATATGCTTAGCTGGAATTGGTTATCTTAGACAACTCGACGATTGCAAGATATATTAGTCTTGATTCTATCATTTGAAGAAAGTAAAATTTTTTTTGTGGCCTACAAAAATTTATAGAGAAGCCCAGTGGAGGGGCAACTGAAGTGCAAAAGGAACGACCTGCAAATTCAAAGCCATTGAAGGAGAAAACCTCTAAAGCAGAAAGGCGTGCCCTTCAAGAAGCCCAAAGGGCTGCAAAAGGTATGTGAAACCGTAGTTTTATATATATATATATATATATCCTGTAATGGGCGTCTTAGACTTGCTACTACTTCTTGTGCTAGTTTATCTGTCAAATGATGTAGCATCATCAAGTGAGGCATTTGATGTGGCTTTCTTTTCCTGTATAGAATTCATTCTGTAATCTATCACCTTTTAGTCTCTTGCCATGCCTTATAGAAGAAAAGAAGCTCCAACTAATAGACTTTTACTTAAATGGCATATTGTCAACTAAAGGAAATAAGGTGCCTGGTGGTGCGTCTGAGTTAGCAACTTCAGCACATGGAAAACCAGCTAAAGTCACAAAGCCTCCTTCACAGAAGGGTGATAATGCTACAGTTGGATCTTTAGACAGGAAGGGCGGTGATCGCCCACCTGAGAAAGATAGAAAGAAAGATGTGCCTCATCCACGCATGCAGTATGATGATAAAAGTCGAGTGGAGAAAGCAAAGAGGCGTGCTGTGGTAAAACAAACAGAAGCTAGGAACATTGTTGAATTATTCAGGCATTTGCCGCAATATGAACATGGAACTCAACTTCCCAATCTTGAGTCAAAGTTTTTTCAACTCGACCCAATGCATCCTGCTGTTTACAAGGTATTCATATGAAGGTAGCTTTTCATTTTGAAATTAGAAACATAGTAAATTTGCACTCCTTGTTGAATGTACTGGATTTAAGTGAATGTAGCTGTGTCTTGTCAAACTATATGATATTAGCTAATCATGCTTTTTAGATTTTGTTTGGGATCGAAATCATGAGAAGAACTTTTTAATTATGAAAGGTGGAAGTTTATGTGATAGCTAACAGTGCCTTTGATAAAGCTGCTCTCTATAAACAATCAGAGTGTTATAATCTTCCTAATTGGGACCTTTTGCGAATGTTGTCAGGTTGGATTACAGTATTTATCTGGAGATATATGTGGTGGCAATGCTCGCTGCATTGCCATGCTTCAAGCATTCCAAGAGGTCATTAGAGACTATTCAACACCACCTGAGAAAACACTAACTAGAGACTTAACTGCAAAAATAAGTACTTATGTTTCTTTTCTGATAGAATGCCGACCCCTCTCAGTGAGTATGGGAAATGCAATCAGGTTTCTAAAGAATAGAATCACCAAGTTGCCTTTGGCTATATCAGAGTCAGAAGCCAAAGCAACTCTTAAGGCAGATATTGATCGTTTCATAAATGAGAAAGTGATACTTGCAGACAAGGTGATAGTGAAGCATGCTGTTACAAAGATAAGAGACAATGATGTTCTTCTCACATATGGCTCATCTTCTGCAATTGAAATGATACTATTGCATGCCCATGAGCTTGGCAGAAAGTTTCGTGTTGTGGTAGTGGATTCCCGTCCAAAACTTGAAGGACAACTACTTCTTCGTAGACTGGTGGGAAAGGGCATTAGCTGTACATACACTCACATCAATGCTGTTTCTTACATCATGCATGAAGTTACCCGAGTTTTTCTGGGTGCTTCGTCAGTTCTGTCTAATGGAACAGTTTACTCAAGGGTCGGGACTGCATGTGTTGCTATGGTTGCTCATGCGTTCCGTGTGCCAGTGCTAGTATGCTGTGAAGCATATAAATTTCATGAAAGGGTACAGCTTGATTCAATATGCTCCAATGAGCTTGGTATGCAATTTGGGTCTCTTCTTATATTTTGAATGCTTCATTGTTTTGATCTTAGCGGTTCAAATATGTTCCATTTCTGCAGGTGATCCAGATGACATTTCAAAGGTTGATGGTAGAAAGGAAATTAACTACTTGGATGGCGGAAGCAGTAGTGACAATTTACAGCTTCTGAATCTGATGTAAGTTTTTTTTTGTTAAGAGATAAGCTGCTAAAACTATTGTGTCCCAGACTCTTCACTAACATTTTAAGATTCTATCTTGAATTTATCATTACAGTTATGATGCAACACCTTCAGATTATATTTCAATGATAATCACGGATTATGGCATGGTAAGATTTTCTGATTTTTGAATTTATTTAGTTTTCCATGTGTGATAGAAAGTACAGAATGAAGTCAAGCTTGTTGAACCATTTTGGGAAAAGCTCCTGATGTTTCGAGTTCTAGTATTTCGGGTTTGTCCTAAATATTTGTGTAGCTGTTTTCACCCATAAAAGCTCCTATCCATCTGGGCGCTGAAACTTGTCATGTTTTTTATATATTACCTTCCGTAAGGATGTCTTATGTGTTTATCTAATTTATGCATCATGAGTTGTAAGTCTCTTTTCTGATTGTTTCAGGTACCTCCTACAAGTGTGCCTGTCATTGTACGTGAATATCTGAAAGAACACCTGCTGATTTAGGTGGATCATAATGAATGAGGGAGCCTTCCCAAAATTTTGCCCATCTTGATATATATTTGTCCAGCCAATCAAGGGAATAAAAGGGTAGAAATCTTTTTTCGCATGTTAGCCCTCTTCTTTTTCTCATTCCTGAATAATGCCATCCAGTGTTTGATATTTTGCCCTCTTTACCTGTCTGAGAAGAGTGCAATTCTGATGCCTCTCCGGACAGATCAGTTATACAATCTTTGCTTCTTTTGATGAAGCCTCCTCCATCCATGCTGTGAAACAATTAGAATCTTGAAGCAAATGTGACGGTTTTGTTGCTTAAGATTTTGGATAAACGTTATGGAATTACATGTGTACTGTTATTCAGCAACCTGAAAATATTGGGGACATCTTTAGTTCCATTTTTCTTTTTCCTCTATGGTTTATATATTCGCTCGTTTAGGTTTGTCTACCAGTGCGGGCAGTCTGCTCGGTGGCACTTGTGCTCCCATGAGAAGATTCTGTTGTGGGTTTGATCCACTTATTACCATAAATTTCATCATGTTTTACCAATTAAATTGTTTCTTGAAGATGATATGCAATCATGCATTTTTGGGTTCAGGCAGCCTATGCATTTGTTTCATGAAATGGAGTTGACATCTATGATATTATTCTCATTCTTGATATGTTTAGATATGTTTAGGTAATTTTCTCCACAATAAATAGATATGGATTAAAAAAGTATTCCCACCCAAGTGCTGAAGTATTTGTAATAAATTCAAAAATTTTGTAAAATTCATTTATAAATTGTTACAAAAAAAATTAGATCACACATCAAAATCTTGTAAAATTTGAACAATGTATTTGATAGAATTTAGAATTTAGAATTTAGAATTTATAATCTATTGTTTTAATTCCACACGAAATATGAATAAAATTTTTACTATTTAAAAAAAGAATTTGTCTACAAATTCCACAGTTACAAAATTTATTAAAATTTATTCCCAGCCTAGCTTAAACACCTTATAATTATATACATTCAAACAAAAACCAAATTACTTATTAACCCAAATAAGAATTTTTTTCTCAACGATCCACAGCTCAGAAGTTCCACAACATTCTGGACTGCCTATGATATTCAATATAGATTAAGCAAATTTAATAACTTCAACTTTCTTGGTAAAACCTACAATATTCAACATTGATAACGAGTTAAAAGTCATTTTCTGCTACCCATTTTCACCCTCCAAATGTTTCTGCTACTTAATGAACTAAATTTTGTTTTCGAATTTCTCTCCTATACGCCCATCTTGTGACAAATATATTTCCTAATTCTTAGGGCGAAAAAAAATACATTGATTATAATCCAAAGATTAAAAAGCCAAACAAAATGTGCTTACTCTGATGTACTTCTGATGACTTCACCTTTGCCATTTGGGGGAGTAATTGTAGCTAGGATAACAAAACCACCCAGAAGAACTATCAGAATGCCCAAACTGTTCACCATTAAAGCTTCAGTTGAGTATCTTGATATCACCTGGTTGGTTTGAAGGAATGTAGCTTTCTCTAAAATACCAGTGGTAGCAGCAGCAATAGCAAGTGCATAAATGTAAACCCCAAGGAACACATGCCACGGAAGCAAGCTCGATCGGCTATTTCTGGAGCCACCTGGGTACCAAAATGTTACAAATCCAGCCGCCCACTGTCCAAAAACAACAATTACCAACATTTACATCAGTGTTAGCGGAAGTTGACTTCCAGAGGAAGTATTACCGGGACAAAGGAGAAGAAAAAGAATAAAAATCAAAACCTGGATGCCAAATAGCAAAAGGCAAGCAATGCCTAACCATGAATGCAGGCTGTAAAAATTATCGATACCCTTATCATTGTGAAATTTCAGGGCAGCCCATACACCAACAAGGCTTAAACAAAGAGCAACACATTGTAATGTAAGATGGACTAATTTTTTGAAGCTTTTAGTCCCTGAAACCGTCTTGTAGACCAGCATTCCTGCATCATACATAGCAAACTACTTAGCTGTGTGGTAAATATATCAAACCCATTGATCTTTTCTAGTAAATAAGTATATTTTTGTAAGATTTTGTTTGCATGTATAGTCTGAAGAGTGTCAATAATAATTCCACTCTACCAACAGTGGAGATTCCACTACTTGAGGGTGTTAACCCGAGGGCCTGGTGTGATGATGCCTCAGGTACTTTTATGTGAACAGACCCCTTGACAAACAGAGAGTGGCAACTGCTTCTCTGTTCCTTGATGAGATCGCCGATGCATGGTATCAAGGATGGCTCACTAAGGATGAGGACTTAAGAGTTAGATGATTTTGTAGAAGAACTCTGTAAGAGATTTGGGAAGGGGGAAGGGGCTGATCGGAGAGATTCATAGAAGAATTTAACAAACTAATCTAAGTGGGAACAATGTTGTTGAAGAACTGACATTGCTCTTCTGCTGGCAGATAACACTACCTTGTCAGAGTGTTTCTTCATTTCTAGCTTTATCAGTGGACTAAAACTAAAGTTGAGACCAATGACTAGACTGGTGAAACCTCAGATTCTGATCCAAGCCTTTAAACAGGCTGTGCTGCAAGAGCAGTCTATCATAGAGATTGCCAAGAGCTAGCATTTTGCTGGGCATAGCTCTTTTAAACGCCTCAAACTAACTCTTCGGCAAACCACTGGAGCAAAGTCAGAGAGAGATAAGCAACAGAACCCCAATGTTAAGGGTCCAAAGCAAGATGGAGACATTAAAAGGAACTCAGCCACTTGCTTCCGCTGTGGCAAATAGTGTTTCTTAGGACATCACGGTCGGCCTAAGATTATAATGGCAATTCAAGAATTGGTTGAGGACATGGAAGAAGGGGAAGTGGTATCGGATGACCTTTGACCAGGTAAGGAGGACACTGGTACCTTGTCGTTGCAAGTCATGGAAGGTGTCGCGATGGGAAGTACTCTGAAAATCAAAGGGTTGTTGGAAGGGCAAAAAATTATAATTCTCCTGGACAACAGCAGTTTGGACCCATTCATTGATCTGAGAGTCACCGAAATTGGCCAAACAAAAAGTCTTGAGTGACATGGTGCTCAATGTAATTGCAGCAAATGGGTAGAAGATCTCCAAAAAGGCAGAATATCTGGGGTTAATGTGGGTCGCGTTGAACTATTGTTTTTGCTAGAGCTTCCAAATCGTTGAGCTTGGAAGTCATAATATGATATTAGGCATTGATTGGATGAAATGTTACAGCCCTATGGTGTTTAATTTTGTAAAATCTACAGTGAAGTTCAACTATGGGGCACCAAGATATCCTTGAATGGAACTAAAGGAAGTAACCGTTTGCTGAGTCTCTCCAGAAACACAATCCAGAAACTGCTCAGGTAGAGGCAACGGATAGAGGATAACAGTCTTTTATGTAATGGTCACTAAGATAGCATAGCAAACAACACTATTAAGAACCCAAGTATTGGTTGCAGCAATATGGCTAAGAAAGTTACCGGCTAAATACAAGGATTTCTTCCAATAACCCAGAGGCCTTCCTCCTGTTAGGGCCTTTGATCATGTTATCCCATACAACAAGACATTATCACTGTATCATTTGACATGACCACATTATTCTCGGCCTTCCGAGTTTTGAACTTTGAGTCTTCGGTGCTCAGTTGGGTAACTTCTCCAGTGAGTTTTTTCTTCTCTCTCTCTTCCGCAGATACATCTTGACCGATTGAGACCATTAAATATAGTTGCTTCCACTTACCTTATGACTAATTATCAGAATTTGAGTGGTTTCCAATTCGGGTTTGATGAAAATAATTCCATCAGACCAATATATGATTTCAAAGAGGTCGCTAGTTCTTGCCATAACCGTTCCGTATCTGGTCATCGAAAAGAGAAAAAAAGAAAAAGTTCTTTTAGAGTTCAAATATCCTGCTTTGATATCATGAAAATTTATAATTAAATTTTCTATTTACTATATTTTTATTTATGATACTTAATTTACAATAGATAAATATATAGTAAAAAATTAGAAAGAGTTTTATATGAAATTAAACTAAAATCAGTCCTATAAAAGGAATGATTTCCAGTTACGGAAGTCGATTACAACTCTACTTCATAGGGAAATTTTTTTGAAGATGCCAATATGTACAGGTTCTACAAGAAGTCAGATTCCTACACCTTCACAACAAGGGAAGCTCCAAATTGTCCCCAAACCCCTTTCACATCACACAAAGAGTAGGCAATGTTGACTACGGACTGAAATTGCCTCCCACTACTGCGTTCACCTTGCAATCCATGTCCCTCAGCTCAAGAAGTACTTTCCAGGTAAACAGCTCCACTATACTGATCTTCAAGATTGTGATCCAATGGACTAATGATTGTACACCCAGACAAAATCCTGCAACATAGGCAAATCCTTCAAGATGGGAAAGTGGACCAAGCCTTGGTTCATTGATCTGGGACATATGATGAAGACTGCACTTGTGAAGACTCTGAATTCTTGCACCATCAATTTCCTTACCTCAACCTCGGGACAAGGTTGCGTCCAAGGGGGGAGGTGCTGCCAGTAAAGCTCTATTAATGTATTAAAGGCATACTAGCAAACCTGTGAAGGCTTACCGAAGGAGGAATAAGATGGGGGATAACTAGGTAAGCATGGTGTCAGTTATAACAGATATAGGGGGACCACATACGAGTGTCATTGTAACTAACTTTGTTAATCACCGGTTTCATGGGTATAAATAAGCTCTGTAATGATAATTCAAAATGTACTAGGAAATTTGAATTCAAACCATTCTCAAATCTCTCTACTCTCTCTCTCTTGTCTCTGATCCTTTCTAAACTCTCTTTCTCTTCCTTTCCCACTCACAAGTACTACATTGAGCTCACGTGGAAGCCAAGTGAAAGGTTTCTGACAATAGACCTGCTACTAATCTGAGTTGGTCCTTTTATCTATCATACCCATTATCATATATATATATATATATTTTTTCAATAACCCTTTTATCATATTTGACTGAAGATTCCGACTTTCCCAAGCAACCAGATGGAAACTAAGACATTCTTCTCATTTCAATAGCACCAAGGAGCTCAAAGGCTTGCCGCTTAAAGCTTTTCAAAAACTTATCCCAAATACATAATACAGTCTCTCAATCTTCCTGGTCCCTGATTCAGATGTCGACTTCTTCCTCAACTTGCTAGAAACTTCAGTAAACTCCCACCTTCAAAAGGTTCCACATCAGCATCCCCATCTCCTTTCCACAGTGGTAACTAGAGTCTAGAGATTGTGCCTGCTTAGCTAGAGTCACCAGCAATTGGTGAAACTGCGGAGGTAGAATCACACTCACTGTTGATTGTGCCTCTCCAGGAAGAAAAAGTTTGGCTGCAGAAGAAAAGAAGTCCTCAGGAAAATGGAAAAAGAACTCCCATCCATGTTAGTTATTTCCTCTGAGTCTAAAACACAAAAATTAGCCTTGCTAAGGATAAAATAGATTCATGCTACAAATGACGTCAGATGAAAGACGAGGGTATATTCTTTGTTCAGCAGCTCAGACCTCGTCTCTGATTATAATATCAGATGGCTTAGACAGCCCTGTTGGAATGAGAAATATAGCAGGTTTTTTCAGACATACACATCTTCCAAATGAAATTCCCGAACATCTGTCAGAGAA